TGCATAACCATAAAATCTATTTAGTAAAAACTAATCCTGAATAATATATGTTAAAAAAATAATAATAATAACTTTATTTCTTGAAAAAACGCATTTCTAAAACTCAATGCTTTTTACAATAAAAAGTGAAAATTATAAAAGCAGAAAAAGAAAATAAAACTAATGAAATATATGGAAAGCAATATAAATACATAAAAAAAGTAGATGGAAATAGCGCAAAACATGAATTTACATAAGTAGCATAATGCCATCTAGAGTAAAACTATATATTATTGATAAACAAGTTTAAATAAATATGTCCTTAGCTTTGTTTTAAATATGATGTTATAAAACTCATTTTATTGGCTCAATAAGATCCAAATTCCCTAAAAAATATATCTTGACACGTTAATCTCTTATGCGGACATGCAAATTTGTACTTCCTGCGTCTGGCTGGGAGCGAGTTTTTATTTAGAGCAAATTGTACCCCACACCCAGAAAGTAGAAAGTTTGTTCTAGAAACCACGCGATGTTTAACGACTAATACTCAACTTACAGTAAACAATCACACTAAAAAATGAATTAAATGAGAAACTCAGCGAGTATCTTCCTTCGCTATACTACGCTTCCTCGATTTTCGTACTTTACATTCACCCTAGGAAAAAATACCTGGCCGTGTCAATCCTTCATCTACCCAGTAGGGATTGTTGGTTCGTTACGCTAGAAGGCTTATTTAGTAGATCAAAATATTCGCCCTGTTCAATTGCGGAGGAGTATTATCATATCGGTCGAACAGGATTGGACTAGCGGAATCAAAACAACAAAAGCATTTCGAGTTATCATTAACTTCCTTTTTGACTACGCTGTACACACTTTCGTAATTCAATACAATTTGATGTGACCTGAAGATAATCAGACGATACTAGACGTCAGTGCTCGCGCGTTGAAGACTGAAGTTAGAAAAATGGCTACTAGCATAGAGGCAGATTCGCCCAAAGATGGCTTGGAAACTGAAGAACCTAACAACAAGATGAGAAAAGCATTCCAGAGAGCGGACAGCGATCTAAAAGGAAGAATCCCTTGCGTTCAATTCTCAACCGCCGCTCAAGCCGCTGGGCTAGATCCAACAGAGGACGAACTAGACGAGCTGTTCCAGCACTTTGATAAGACAGATGAGAGTGGAATCAACTTCGATGAATTCGTTGATATGATGTCCTACCTTGAAGAAGGGAGCGAAAAGGACTATGAAGAAACCTTGCGAAAGGCTTTCAAGTAAGCTCAGTTCATTCAAGTTCATTTTTTTTACCGTTGTTTTGTAAACATTCTTAATTACTCACGAAAATCAGTAGTGAAATGTCATAACTTCTGGGCAGCACGTTTTTTCTTTTCGTTTTCATTTTCGGTCAAAATTGTCATTGAACATTGAAAGACCAGAATAAGATGTAAAAGATTTTATGAGAACAGAGAAAAAAGACACTAAATTACCACCCCAAAACACCTGTTTTAAGAGAAAACAGAGTTAGACACACCAAGTCGTAAAATTAAGCAGACCAATGAAGACACTTGAATAATTCAAAAACATAGTACATACGAAAATTAGTTAAATATTTTTTTCCAAAAGCTTTCTAAGCTCTTGATTTCACATTCACGTTAAAAAAAAGTATGACTCTTATTTTTTATTTGATGTAGTGTATGGTAAAGTGGACCAAATTAAGAAAGCTATTATTAAGAAGAAACAAAGGTCATGATTATTATTTTTCCTTGGTACGAAATAATGGTTTTGAGACACCTGGTGCGCGTTTGAAATATATAAGAAGTTGAATTTACAAGAGAGTTTGATACAAATTGTGAAAGAAAAACTGTCAAAGAGCTTTCAGTTGTCGAGACAGCCTTGCGTTTCATGCAAAATAATTCTCAAGGTCCAAAAAAAAAAAAAAGAAATTAACTCTTATTTAAATAATAAAAGGTTTCATAACAACATCGGCTTTCAAAGCGTTAATATTGTTTGAATTTCAATTCGAGGCGATTCTTTGGCCGCCAAAGCCCGCGCTAATGTACAGGATGTCCAGCATCAGGTTCCGTCAGGTTGCTATGGTAACCGACATTCCCACGACAGGTGCGAGAAGAAGAAACATGTCTGTTTCATTTGGAGTGGATTTATTTGTTTGAAGTATCTACATATATGTATTAGTCTATCGTGAAAGACAGACAGACAGATTGTTGGTAGCAGACTCGTACCCAGACGCGTCTCTTACTCGCTGTGGTTGAAGGCGAGAATAAAAGGAATAAACCTGGGTGCGAGTCTGGAAGTGCCATAGTAATTCTGCCCAAAGGCAAGCTGAAAAAACACTCGATGACAAAAAGAAAAGGAAAGGAAATTGTCGAGTGAAGGAGCTGCGTCCGCCTAAAATATACATAATAATTTTCGACAATCCAAACTGTTTATATAATAATAATGATGATAATACTAACAATATCTTGATAAGTAAGGATTTTGAGATCAATAATATAAGAAACGATACAGACAGTAATTCGCGACGTTTCGAGGTCATGCTGACCTCATTATCAAGTGTGTTTAATGGAACTAAATCTTGACT